AACATGTGTGATACTGAGTTTGCGTGCCGACTCCGCGAATGGACTTGTGTGTATGATGGTGACTATTGGAATATGTAAAACATACAGAGAACATGGTAGAATGATGTTATCTAAAGACTTACTTAATATAAACCAAGCGTATGGGTATGAGGATTAAGTTAAAACGTAGACTTACGACTATAAATTAATCGTTACAGTAAACAGAATGCTACGGTCGCCATCAGTAAGCCGGCAGTTTGTGTCCATAGATATTATATATATATATATATCGTTTGACATCGCCAGTATATCTTTCGCTACTATGGAATGGTCTCAATGTATTCGTCTTTAATTTAAACCAGGTCGACGATATACCTCAGGACTAGAGACTGACCAATGGAAGCACGTTGTACGCACACGTGCTGCTGTATCTCTCCAAACACTGCTTGATAGCAGTCCACAGTGGTTCGCACTGAGTGCAAATGACGAGCTGCTTATAGCTGAAGCTCTGGCAAGGTATCCGAACGATTCAGTGTGTACTGATATATAAGATTTGAGGTTTCTGATCGGAATGTAGCATCTATGCATGCACAGAATATTATTCGGAAGTATGGGTGGGTATAAACGGTGGCTGTCCACACTGTTGTCCCACAGCGGTAGATGGACTGACGATCAAGCGCCGTTTACCTCAAGTAGCGCGAATAGTAACATCCACAATGTGCGTGTATGTGTCAGTGTTGATTCGTAAATAAGCAAATTCACACAATTCCGTCCCATTTCAATACCCGATAAGGTCCTGCTCCCCCCTCCTCTATAAGTACGTCCATGAAGCAAGTACATATTATCTCATTTGTTTCTTCCCACTCACTCAGGAACGCGGTAGACACATCGGCAGACGCGCGAGCAATACAACAGCCGCGATTACAAATGGTTATGCGCACGCTCAAACCGGGTATCAGTAGTTTACGCACGGGAGAATACGCCGCATATGTACACGTGGGTGGAAAATCACGGTGGGGCCCTGCTAGAGACTCGGCGGAACTAGCCACAGCTGATAGAAAACGACTGGTGGCCGCAAGGAAAGCAAAGACACTGGATGAGCTGGATTGGTAGTTGATAGCTGGGTAGTTTGGTAGATAGGACCAATTTGAACTTAGTGCAGTTTACGTGAATCAGAAGAAGCTGACGCACATCGCACGTGGGACAAACGTGTGGATATGAGGTGGTGGTTATCGAAGATGACCTTATCTGCCTCTAACATTATGTGATAACAAACAAGAGGTACAATAAATGTGCAATTCAGATGCGCACTACCTAACTGTGCACGTCTGATGCTTCGACAATCGACACCTATGACGCATCCAAGCAAAATTAATTAATAAAGGTTTGGTGCAGCCGTGCAGTTGTGCAGGTCAACAGCAGTGAGCAGTCATATCACATATGTCTTTTTTAAGGAGGCTACACAGCAGCGGTGTTTCCGTTGGCTTTCATCAATCACCCGCGCAGAAATGGATCTGCGGATTCTGAATTTTATGGGGGTACGGGATGGAAGTAAATACAACGTAAACGCATTGGTATTCAATTGTAAAATGTTATAACGGTAATTAGTAATAATGTGTTCAGAAGCGCCTACCTAAGTTCTTCATACGAAGGACCGCATATGAAATAAAAGTTGAACCTAAAGCAACATTTGCATTTTATTTATATATATAAAATAATAAATTCAAAATGCTGTGCAACTTTTTAGTGGTTTTTGAAAAATTAAAACTATTCTTTATCCCATGGTGAATAATTGAGTAACGAATTTGTGATAAGAACTTCTGATTGACATAGAGATATGGCATGTTATATAAATAAGTACTTTCTACTCTTGAGTACTGAGGAATTGGCTTTTGAGTAGATGTACTCTTTATAGAATATAGACCCGTTGGTATTGTAACGTTCAAATATTGGTTTTTTTAAAACGCGTAAATATATATGGACATTTTAAGATACCGTAAGCACAATTTTTGTTGTTATAAGTGTCTGAAGTCGCTCTGTGTCTCACCATCTCATTCTCATCGTTATGTGGCATGACTCATGACTCATGAGGTGTGTGACAGTGATTGTTAATATAACTGTCAACTCAACTCTCACGTCTCAACACTTAAAAATAACTCTCATACGTGACACAAGTCGGAAGTCTCAGCTGAGTCTGCTCTCACTTCTGACTTCTCGGCCTCTCAGGATTCAGAGACTCAGTCTCTGTGAAAAACTACAAACTCATTGTTTTTATTTTTAAAGAAAATAAAACATTAGTAGCCAGTTGTATAGCTACTCGAGTTGTATCATTGATTCATTGTCAAATAGCAGATTTTCTCGTTCTCTCAGTGGCTCTTATTATCTCCCGCTCTGTCGAGGGAGTAGGAGAGCACGTTCTTATAAACTTACAACCTACACTCCTAGTTTCCTACAGGCCACAATACCGTTTCTGGTTCGAACTTTTTATTACAACAAAAAAGTCTCTGTGAGGGTAAATAACTATTTTTAAATACAGTGTACAGTTGTACCCTGTACAGTGTACAGTGTAAATTCAATTATACTGTGTACACTGTACACTACACAGTGCACAACTGCACACACTCTCTCGTAAAATATAATGCAGAGCGTCTGCCGTCTGGCCGTTTGTGTAACTCCTTACTTTTGAAGTTTTGATACATTATTACTGTCTAAAAAAAGTACAGTCTCCTTTTTAGTTTTCTAGACAACAAAAAAAAGCATATAACTCGTCATTTATGACTTAACAATGGCATTCCCTATTTTTATAGCAAAGTACAGTACAGAGTTTGTGAAAGTAAATTTAACACAAGAACCATGCTTCGTTCACTTTCTGCTGTGGCTCTGGTAGTATCGCAGGTCGCTGACGCCGCCTCGGCACGTGCTGACCCCAAGCAAGAATTACACGAGTTTCTACAAACTGTACAAGATATGGTAGTCCCTAATCCAACCCACGCCCCCCTTCCCGGAGCACGTGCTGATATAAATTCCTTAGCCGAGGTGATAGGTATAAATGTGACATCCAGTCTTTTGAGTGTACAGCCTGTGCCTATAGATGCGTACACAGATTTTGCTGTGTGTGGTATAGATTTGGCGTCTGGTCAAGATTGTAATATGACCTATCTTCGTGCAAATCAAGGGGCTAGTAAAGGGTGGATCGTGAGGCCAGACCCGACGGAAACTAAGGCGATATGTAATGACGGTACACCCTTCGCTTTTCAGGTGTTTCCTGGATCAACAGACAATGTAATGTTTTGGTTTCAGGGTGGAGGTGGCTGCTATAATTATGAGACGTGTCGCGCAGTACCTGTGGCCACTATAAACTTCCGGCCCGAAGATTCGGGAATTTTTGATTTTAGTAATTCTGAGAATCCGGTGGTGAAGGGGGGCTGGTCCATCATTGTGAATAATTATTGTAGCGGCGATTTATTTCTTGGTAATACGACGATGGTGACCAACAGTAGTGATAGCGAGGGTGAGAACTCGACCATCCATTTCAGGGGTGTGCAGAACACGTTGGAGGTTTTTGGCTATTATGATCGACATCTGCAAGGACTCAACGAGACCAACCCAACATCACATCGATTGTCTGTGTCAGGTTGTAGTGCCGGGTCTTTAGGCGCTCAGATATGGAACGATTACATGGTCCAAAATTACAGAGCTGAACGCACATTACTAGATAGCTATATAGGAATGCTTCCCGAATATTTTGGAGTGTTTGTGCGAAATTTAGGTTCGTGTCAAGTTGGCGAAGATATTCTGGGCTGGACAGAAGAGATGGTCGCTGTATGCAACGCAGGTGGATTGTATAGCTTTGAAAATTATGTGTATGGGCCTTTTTTGAAAAGTCATGTTGGGTATCCTTCGGGTTATCTTGGTTCATTTGATGATGCAACACAGAAGCTATTCTATGTTCTATCATCATCTGATGATTATGAGTCGGGCGTACTATCATTTGCGCCAGCATTTGGAGAGTCGCAAAAATTCACATCTACGCTTTTTGGAATTCTGGATAACTACACTGACATAAACGCAGCATCAACCTACTATCTAGTCGATTCAGCGATGCACTGCTTTTTACCCCGAGAGTCTCTATACAACGCAACGCTTACCACCGCGCCACACGGAGGAGAACAAAGTATGCTCGAGTATATCGATGCGTTTCTGAATGTTGCAGTCACACCTCTGTACACAGAAGAAGATAAGTTATGAGTGGTGATCGTAAAGTGAGTTTAGATTATAGGTCTAAGATCGTAATAACAATAATTGTCTCAATTCAAAAATAAATATAAAATATACATGTAGGATTTTTAAAGGGCAAATATATGTAAATATATGGTATATAAGTATATACGAGTATATATTTACGTGTATACATATGCGCGTATGAATAGTTTGTTTGTGTTAAATTGATATCGAATAGAAACGGTGTAATAATATATGTATATATATATATATATAAATACGGATAATATATATATATATGTAAGGAAAACATATATATATATTATATAAATATATATATTCAATAAATATATATATGTATATATAGGTGAGTATGTGTGTGTTTCAACGTATATGTATATGCATATATATATGCATATGTAAATATATTTATACATATTTATATCATAACATATATATATATATATATATATTTATAATATATATATATACATATATATATGTACATATATATATATATATAAATAAATATATATGTATATATACCTATATAGATATACATGTATGTATATATATATATATGTGTGTGTGCGCGTGTTTATGTACAATATATATATATATAACAAATGTATAATATATCGATATATATATGTGCAGATATTTATATATATATATATATATATATATTATGTTTATATAAATTA